CAGCCCCCCAGGTCCTGGGGCACCGGGTGGGTTTCAACAAAACAAATCCCAAACCCCACTTTCTAGGGGAGGTGAGGTACCTAATGTGCTCTACAATGGAGATGAGGTCACCAAGAGAGGGCCAGTGAAAAACCACCTTCCCTAAACAAAATCAGCCGCCCCAATGGACTAAGTTGTATGACTAGTCACATAGAGGACTTATCTCCCTATATATTAGTTGTCCCCAGGAGAGGCCACCTAAATTCAAATGATGTTTATGAATTGTCACAGCTAAGGCTCAAGCTCTGCCCAGGACAAAATCAGCCAGGCCACCTACAGCCAACCAGGTGAACAAGGTGCATCACTTTACTCTCAGCATCCTCATCCGCCCATGGACACACGTGGCTCTGTGCTTGTTTGAGGGGCTTCCCAAGTACAGTTAAACCCATGGTGGGACTGCAACCTACACGTGGAAGCAAAGAAGCCAACCAAAATAAAACTTTAAAATCAGTAAACTAACAGTGCTTTACTAATCATGCAAAAAGTAAGGATAGAAAATATAGAATAGAAGGTGTGGTACATTACCCAAAAGCCCCGCTAAAGACCGCATGTCCTTCTCCATCAGCATGTAAATCTCTTCCTCTGAGAAGCGGCCAATGCCGTGGCCGTGCATCTCGCGTTTCACAATTCCTTTTGTTATGTGGCACACGATCCACCTCAGCAGGTTGCTGAAGGGACCACCACCACTAAGAGAGAGCATCTTCCGGGTCTCATTGAGATTGTCCACCCACTGGCAATAAGCTAACGTCCTGGAATTATGTGGAAACAAGTTACTACTGTGCATTAAATACATATCAGCTCCACAGGGACAGTTTCCAATGAGTGGTGCAGAGTTTAGCACACTCTGGAGGAACTGAATCATGGCAGCTTTCATACAAAAGCAGCCTGCATGGCAAATATTACAACAGACTCTGGTCCATGCCTAGACTTAGGGCCTGTGAGAGGCACTGTAACAAATCCAGATAACCATGCCATGCTTCAAACAAACCTCTCCTGGCTCCCACCCTCAGACCCTCCCCCTCTCCCACCCCCCAAGGCCATGCTTTTGGGTTCTCTTAGGCAACCCCACAATAAACAAGTAGAAAGGCTTTCAGATGCAATAGGGTGTATCTATAGGGGTTCAGGGAAGAGGTGGCAGTGACGGGGTGCTGGCTTCATTCTCTTTCTTGGTCAAAGCAATGGTTACACAGTATATGCTCTGTGTTCATTAATTAAGCTGCACATTTTTGTTTTGTACATTTTGTCTATGCATTTTATATTTCAGGATATAAAAGGACTTTTGTAAAAAAGAAACCTTTTGCTTTTGTGACAGAGTTAGGGAGTAGATATACCTGTCCATGTTTATTATAAACTATATAAATTATAAACATTACATTAATTATTTGCTCTCCAGAAAGTCATCTCTCTGCTTCCGCCTGTTCTCCAGGACTTCAAAGTGAACACAAATATCAGAGGAACTTGGTAGAATCATTTTTCCCATCTGGGTGGTGCTTGTGGCAAACTCACCCACCCAGATGTTCCCATGTAATATCTATGGACAGTTAAGCAGCTATTTATTGTTCATGTGTTACGTTGGCAGCAATACTCAGGCCTTTGCTGATTTTGTTCTCTGAACCTGTGCAACTGCAGGAATTTTTTTTTTTTTATGGTTGATAGTGTTAAGCGTTGGTAGACAGAAGTTAAAAGGGTTTCCTACTGAAGGCTGAGAAAAATGTAGCGGCAGGCATACAGATATATTTACTTTTTCCTCATCAAGAGCAACAAAAGATACTGAGGGTGCCAAAAAAATGTATACAAGTGGACACTTTGGTCAACGTGGCTCAAGCAGTAGTTTGTAATCAGAAGTGTCTGGACGCTGATGATAATCACTTTGAGCCCCACTTGTAATTGCAGAAGTCAAACGTGACTTGTATTCATCTTTTGTTATCAGTATATATTGAGTATTACAATTTTAATACCGTTTTCCTTTCTTAAAATGCATATACTTTTTTTGGCATCCTCTGTGGTCATCTCTACTCCTAGTGTTGATTGATATAGCAGTAACGGCCACTTCAAAAAAATTAAGAGTGAAAAATATTTTTACAGAGGGAACACAAAGGATGATAGTAAATTGTAGCTACTTTCCACCTCAAGGAAAAAAAACAAAAGCTGAAAAAGGGCCCTGGAATTTTGATCATTTTATATTGTTCTATTTTTTTTTCAGTGTTCTTTCCTCTACAAAATAAAAATAAGAAGAAAAAAAAGATTTCTCTGAATTTTTTAAGCATTCCTGATTTTTAGTGAAGTCCTATAACCAACTTCAGCACACTGTACCACAACCATAACTCTTCTTTATTACCTTTTTAAAGGAATGCCTACAAATCTTGTTAGTAAGCTTCATGTACCTCTTTTTTATAAGTCTCTCAAAATAAAGTATTGAGGAGTCAAGAAGAGGATTTTGCTGAAAAGAGGAAAAAGTACATCACAATGCTGACTAATTAATGTGTAACGTCAGAGTAGTCAATGGAGTTTTTGATATAAAAGATCTCACACTTGCTCTAGTAAATTCTTTAAAAACATTCATACTAAATGCTTTCCTGATTGCTCTTCCTTTTACACCTGCAATTAAGTAATTAAGGTGTCAACTTCCACATTCATTAGAATAATTCAGCACTTTTATTCTAATTGTACTGTATTTAAATTCACAATAAAAGGGCTATATCATCCTTGATTATTTTGGAAGCCAGTGATCTGAGCATAAAACTAAATGATCCTAAATTAGGCACGACCAGGTAATAATAGTACCCTGGAAGCCTCTAAAGCATTAAAAATGAGGAATATGGTGGCTCTAAACTGATAGGTTGATGTGGGGAGAAAAAAATACATCCTTTGTAGGCAAATTACATCGGCTTCGTCATAAGCATAACTGATCTTAAGGACGAGCAGAAGCTCGCCAGGCAGAGCAGAGGGAGAAGACGCATGCAGGAAGAGCCCTGGCTGGTTGATGCACTGTGAGGACTTCAGGGCAGGTGGGTGGGGCACAGGGTGCTTGAGGAAGCCTGCAAGAGTTTGGGGCTGGAAGGGTAGGCAAGGATCAGATCAGCATGGGTCTGATGGAAAAAGAACTGAACTTTATTTTGAAGGCAAATTTAACCAATTGAAGGTTTTCAAGCAGACAAGAAACAATCAGATTTGTGGTGATGTGAAGGAAGTGGAAAAACTGGCAGAGGGAGGCTGGCTAGAAGACCAGGCAAGAAATGATGCACTGAACTAAGGGGATGGCAGAGGGGATGGTGAACAGAAATGCATAGGAAAAATACTGATATATAAGAAACAGACCAATGGACATACAGGATTAGATATGAAAAAAAATTAAGTGTTTTCTCCCAGGCTGATGGATTAAGTGGATGATAAACGTTCTTAACCAATACTGGCAGTACACATATTATACAAGGTGGAACAGACTTCGTTGATGAAAGATCAGTCAAACTGTTACATTTGCAGTTCCTGTGGAACCCAACCGAGGATGTCCTGAAGGTTGAGAACTCAAGAGATAGATTTAGACTCAAGATAGAGAATTTGTGGGCAGGGGCATCAGTAGCAGTCTTAAAGCTGTGAGAGGGGATACGTTCATCTAAGGAAGTTTCTAGGATAAGGAGCGATGCTGGGGAAATGACAGGTTAAGGGCTGAGATGACCTCATAGGCTGTAAGGACCAGCTTAGAGAAAAGTAGGAACACCACTTTCTCTGAGCTGGAGAGAAGAAGGCCGTTGCAAGCAGTGAGGGGCTGCAGAGAGATTCAGAGTTCCTGCCTGATGACTTCAGTTTCGTCCGTAGAACAGGAAATGAGGGCACGTGCCAAAGATGAGGCTACCGCAATGGGGAGTTTTAGAAGACCAGTGGAATACAGCGGCAGGTGGAGATGGAAGAGGCAGCTGTCTGGGCCACACAGCTGAGCAAGGAGGAGCCCCCACCTGCGCAATGCTATAAGGTTCTCTACCTGCATTAGCAGGCTGAATGCAGGGCACAGAAGAAGGAACACTGAGTCGATTCAGAATTTTGCAGCTAGATCACCTCAGAAACTGTCTGCCCCACTCCTGATTTCTTTTCTCTCTTTCATTCTCCGGGCCCAATATTGTAGAAGCAAATGAGGGCTAGGCAGGCTCCTTCAGGGTCAATCCTCACGGAATGTGTACGAACTTTAAACACCAAAGAAAATGGGTGCTTCATGGGTTCCTAAATCAATTAATACAGCCCAAAGACATCCCTGACACGTGCCTCCATATCATTACAATGATGAATCCACCTCCTCCTGCAACCACGCTCCTGAAATCTCTGTCCACATGGTGGGGCTCCCACCCATACCACTCCCCAGGAACCACTCTTATCCATGTCCACAATTCCTCCTTGTTCTCAAATCCAAATCAACCTTTTTTCCATATTCATCTTTCTTGAATTCTCTATACTATAGCATCTAACACTATTGGTGTCGCTCTTAGAATTCTCCCTCAACTTAGGTCTCCACTGCTTTTCCTCCCATCTCTTACATGTCCCCAAGATTTTTATCTTTATTCCTTCTATCTTCTTACACCTCACTCATAGGGTGATCCATTTCCCACTCATGATTTCACTGCTGACCCCCAACTCCATATCTAGCCCAAACCTCTGTCCTCAGATCCATGGGTTCTTGTGAGGGACCCTCAGAAGCTGCAAACTAACACTTCCAAAATTGGACTCATCATCTTCAACCGTGCTTCTCCTCACCCAAGCCAGAAAGAAGCCCAGGAATTATCCTTCAGTGCTCCCTATTCTTCACTCCTGATAGACAGTCACCCTGGGAATTTGCCCTAATCTCCAACTCAGTGAACGCTGTAGATTAGCCCTTCATTTCTCACCTCTGAAGACAGCGGCCTCCTAGCAGGTCTCCTGACATCCCCTCAAGGCCCTCCAGAAATCTATTTGCCCCAAGTCAGCCACAAAGAGCCTCCTAAAACACACATCGAATCATATCATGCTGCTTCTCAGAGCCATTCGTTAACTCCCATAGCTGTCCACTTGGCACACCAGCCTGCTCCCCGCAGTCTGACCCATCACCTTGCATTGCCTCCAGGCACCAGCAAACAGAATTACATGTGCCTCCCAAACGCCTCTTTTGTGCCTCTAAACTTTTACAGATGCCGCTCCCTCTGCCTGGGTATCCTAATCTTCCCCTCCACCCAGCCCCTCTGCCTGACACTCTGAATGTCCCTAGACTCTGTTGTGACACCATCTCCTCTGGGAAACCTTCCCCTCTTCTCTCCAGCAAGTGCTGGAAGCCTCTCCTTGTTTCTTCAAACTCTCCCCCCAGGACTGACCATTACAAAGGCTGGATGTCTCCCTCCAGCCTGTAAGCCACTTGAGGACACAGACAGCGTCTCATCGCCTTGCTTCCCCCCATCCAGCANTTTTAAAACTACATCCTTAGCTATTGATTGCCTGTCTTCAGTCTCTGTTTACTACCTATATCTCAGGCCCAGTCCAACCTCTGTGACATCAACAGGGCTACTTTCTAAATCACATTTCTGTCCTTACATTTTAATAATATAAAAGCCAATCTTAGCTCATAGGCCATTAAAAAAAAAAAAACCCACAGGCCACCATCTGTGGGCCATAATTTGCCTACTCCTAGTTTAGAGGCTCATCTCGCCCACTGAACAGTGAGCTACCTGAAAGTGTGGACGATCTCTAATTCAGCTTTATATTCCCCAGCTCCTGGCACACACAGGTGTTCAAATCACTGATGTCAATTTATCCTTATACTAATTTATCCTTATGAATCAAATACATCTGTGGACAATTTCTCCAAATCCTGAACAATCTCAAGAAAAAGTCATTTTGCATTTTGAGTCTTATAGGCATCTAGGTGAAGGCAGAAGTTGATTTTTGCTTCATTTGGTAATAAAAACTATGATCAGCCAAAGGGCCTCTCCCTCCCCAGATGCAGAAATAAATGCTTTCGAGTGGCCCATTCATTTTCTCATGGCAGAAAATCATCTAGACTTGTGATGCTGTTTTGAATACTTGTCAGGTATCCAGTCTAGCTATCAGCAATTCATTCACCTCCCATGTCACCACAATTGGAGAGAAGGGATTTTTCTAAGTTGTTACATGCCAGAAAAACACTGGCAGTTATCATTACTACAGCTAGCACCATGCTCCCTGGTTCTCCCAACCAGAAATGCTCCAGAAAGACGATGATTACTCCTCTCTGGATAAGGAACCAACATTGTTAAATTGTGAGAGATGAACAGCACTTCGCTGGCATAATCTCAGTCTTAACTTCAAGGGCTGAATGCCCGGCTTGCTGGGGCGCCCAACAGCGTGAGCTGATGAGGAACAGCAAGAAGCCAGGAGCAGACAGAGCCACTGCTGAGGAGGAACTGACCCTCTGCACACCTGCTCTGTGAGGCTGGGAGCCCAGTCTAAGTTTCCAAAGGAATGAGGAAAACTGGAGGCTAATTCTACTCATCTCTACATCAGGCAGGCCCCCCTGGGCCTAGGGAGGCAAAGCACCAGGAGTTTCAGACAGTGTCAGTCATACAGCCAGGCAGTGCCTTCGAAAGTCTGTTTAGATCAGGAGCTCAGCGAGCATCGAACTCCCCCCAGCTCCCCTCATCAAAGATACACCCCTACAAAGCTGGCTGAGAGCTAGATGT